AGAAGGTGACACACCACATCAGTGTGGGTCCCTCTGCCAGACCACACCACTCCCAGTGACTAGGAGGTGACATCTAGCATATTGCATCATTGGATCCTGTCGGCAAGTGCAGTGCTGACAACAGTGAGTTACAGTTATTTGTAAAAATGAACGTCACCAGAGTAGACCACAATTGTGCTAACTCTAATTTGTCTTGTGTTCATTTTTTTCAGTTTCCAGAAGGGGCTTGATGTCTCATAGGATCAAAGGCAGCCAAATGACCCTGTAACTCTGGCACCCCTTCTACTGGGTCCCCATCACCCTGTGGTGGTCCCCACTCTGCCATGCTGCCTCCTTTTTGGTGCAGCCTGTGCCACCTCTTAGTGACTGTTGGGGTCAGACCCTGGAGTCCACTCCCTGGCTTTGCATCCAGGCTCCAACACGTCCTGCCTGTGTGTCCTTGGGCAAGTCTCATAACCTCTCTGAGCCTTGGTTGCCTTGGTGAGACACACAATTGTACCTGCCTCCTAGGCTGTGAGAATTCACTGAGATAATCTTATAGTGCTTGCAGCAATTTCGGGCACATAGTAAAAGTGATCACTAAATGTTAGCCACGTCTTACCCCTGCAAGGCTCACCCCCATGGAAGCCATTGTTCCCAACCCTGCTCCTGAATCAGGCACAGCTCAGCTTGCAGCGGGAGCAAAGGGCAGTGCTCCTGCCCCTTCCCTAGGCCAGAGACTGAGTCATGAATGACACCTCAGCTGTAGTTTGACCTCCGGGACTTGCAGTCTGAACAGCAGGTGTCACTAGCATAGGAGAGGCCCAGAGGCGCTTCTGTCTCGCCCACCTACCTGGTGCACCCACACTGGGAGCACCTGCAACATTTAAGCATGTCCAGGAGCGTCCGCCAGGGTGTGTGGGGGTTCACAGAAGTATGCAAATCACTAAGAACCAAGGGGCTGGCGCAGCCCGTTCGTGCGCCCACACTCCCAAGGGGGCCTGCTGCCTCTCAACATGGCGGGGATGTGACCTGTTAATGAATGTATTTACTTCCCAAAGTTTGTATGTTTTGCATCAATCTGTAGATGGATTTGTATTGAGGGGCAAGGAGAGAATGAGAACACCCTGTGCCTAGTCTTGCAGGGTGCAAGTAGCTGATGGGAAGAGCAGACAGCCTTCCAGCCAGGCCTGGCCCTGTGAGTCAGAGACGTCCACCTGAGTGGTGGAAAAGGCCTGCGTGATTTTGAGGGAGACATCGCCTCTCCAAGGCTCTCCTTATTTGTACAACAGACAGACTTAATGGTTGGTGAGGCAATGAGGCTGACAGCTCAGCATTAGCTCCAGCCACCCCTCCTGGCCATCCACACAGGGATCAAATCAGGAGTCAGTCCAGAGGTCAGAGTCAGGAGCAGACAACTCAGATCAAGCCAGGGACAGACTGAGCCAGGGACAGGCAGGTCACATGGACATGTGCCTCACGTATACTTCAAGGCCCTCCCCCCAAGCCCAGGAAGAACTAACGAACAGCTCCTGTTGCGATAGGAGCAATCTGGGTAAGATACTAGGAGGAACTTCCAGCATGATGACGTGTGACGAATAAGGGCCTCTGGCCAAAAGGTCTGAATCAGGGCTGGCCAGCCCAGCCTAGTGGGAGGGGCATGGATCATGGGGGCTCGTGTTCTAAACTTCGCCTGGACACGAGGTGAAACAGCCCAGCCCCAGAGGACCATTTTTGGCCCTGGGAGGTCGAATCCCCTCTTCCTCCCACCTAACACTGGCTTCTCCCTGGAGCAGACTTCATTCCAGGGAAGCCATGATGGGAGAGAAGAGCAACCTAGCCTGGCCACCAAGAGAGCCCCCGCCGGGGTGCAGGCTGGACTGCTGGCGAGGGGCCACAGATATTTACAGTGCCAAGCCCTTGGAAGAAGACAAGGCGCCAGGCTTCCTGGAGGTGTGCAGCGTCTAGCTCAGCACCGCCCGCCAGGTCTCTCTGCCCACATCTCCTGACCTCCCTGGGTCCATTGCCATACAGGAGAGAGGCCAGGCTCCTCTGGACCCTCTGTACAGATGGAAGGGCTTGGAGGATCCGGGAACATGGGACTCCGCCAGCCCATTCTAGTATGCCAGGGGCCCATGGACCTTGTTACTCGCCCCCACCTGGATCTTTGTCCCTGCTGTGCCTTTGCCTCCAGGCTAAGGATCAGTCTGAAGCAGAAAAGGTCATCCCCAATACCAAATCCTCCAGTGACCGCTTCATCACCTTCTCTGCCCCACTACCAAAGTCTGCTGTTAGCAGGAGACTTGAGATAGATTTGTTCTGGGGATGTGACTGATGCTGCTATAGGGTCAGAGCTCTAAGCCATCCGGTACCTTCCTGGGTGTGTGAAGACCTGGGTTAAGCTTCCCAGCCTTACCACTAATGGGCTGTGCACTTGGGTAGGTCTCTACCTCTTCAAGCCTAAGGTTTCTAACCTATAAAATGGAGTTGATATCTACTTCACAGGAGTCTGATTACTTGCATTCTAACAGAAAACAAAATCTTTTTTTTTTTTTTTAAAGATGAGGTTTCACCATGATGGCCAAGCTGGTCTTGAAATCCTGACCTCAGGTGATCCACCCACCTCGGCCTCCCAAAGTGCCAGGATTACAGGTGTGAGCCACTGCGCCCGGCCAGAAAACAAAGTCTTAAGTCAAAGGAATGAATCTCTCTCACTCTTTCTTTAGACCAAGTCTCACTCTGTCGTGGCTAGGTGCGATCTCGGCTCACTGCAACCTCCACCTCCCGGGTTCAAGCAATTCTCATGACTCAGCCTCCTGAGTAGTTGGGGCTACAGGTGCGTGTCACCACGCCCGGCTAATTTTTTGTATTTTTAGTAGAGACTGGGTTTTGTCATGTTGCCCATGCTGGTCTTGAACTCCTGGCCTCAAGTGATCCGACTCAGCCTCCCAAAGTGCTGGGATTACAGGCATGAGCCACCGTGCCCAGCTAGGAATGAATATCTAACACAGGAATTCCAAATCTCAGCCACTGATAAAGCATTCTGAGGGCAGGGCCAGGCCACCTTCTCAGGCCTCTGATTTCACACTGTGGTGTTAATTACTTCTTCTGAGAGGATGGCTTGCCAGAGCTCTATTTTATGTTGGAGGCTCCTTCTGCCTGCAGACTCCGCCGTCTGGGAAGGGCGCGGTGTCGGGAGGAAGGGAGGGATGCGTGAGCCCCTCCGTGGACCCGCTGCTTTGCGCATCTCTACCTCATTTCCTGTTCAGCACCACTCTGGGAAATCCGTATTCTAGCCCCATTTTATTCTCAGAAAATTGAGGCTCTGAGATGTTACCTCTGTGGCCTGGATCATATAAGTGCCTTGGATGTCCTGGCTCCAAGGTCTCAGCATCCAGAAGACAAGCCCTCTCATCCTGCCATCGCTGCCACAGCTGCCACTGTGGGCCCAGCAGACATCTCAGCCCAAGACGGGTCAGCGTTCCCTTCCGGACCACTGACGCCCCGCAGAACTCCTCTGTGCCCTGTCCTCACCAGACCTTGTTCCTCCCGGGTGATCCCACAGCCAGAGGGCAGTGAGGGTTGCTCTTCTCCCAACCACGCTGAGGAGCCCAGGAAGCCCAACGAGAGAATCAGTCCTGGGGCCCGGTTGGGGAGGGCCCCAGCCATGAGACCAGCTCCTGCCCCGGGGGATGTTATCAGTGGGTCCAGAGGGCAAGGCAGGGAGCCTGGCTGGCGGAGGGAGGAACAAAGGCCTTGGGTTCTGAGTGACCTTGGCCCTTCTCCACCAAAACCCTGCCCTGAACTCAGCGGTGGGGGTGGGGCACACAGGGGAGGGGGTGGGGGGGGTGCTGCTGGGTGAGCAGCGCTCACCCACCTGGATTGAAAGCCAGAGATGGAGGTGCTGCAGGGGGCTGGAAGAGCTCAGCCCTGTCGCCGGGCCTTGCAGGAGCCACTGCTGCCTTCTCTTCCATGCCTTCCCTCCAGACATCCCCCAGCCCAACCCCGCCACTCGTTCTCAAGTCTGAAGAAGCCCCTCAATCCTCTTCTCCAGGCTGTTTTCAGGGTTTAAGGCTGGCAGAGGGAGGGGCCTGAAATTCCAGCGTAAAGGGCTGAGATGGGTCTGAGGCCCCTGGCTATCCCCAAGCCATTTCCCCTCTCACCAGCCTCTCCCTGAGGAGCCAGTCTGCTAGGAAGGAATAAGGGGACTCCCCAGGCCCACCCCCAGTTCCTGAGCCCATCCGAGATGCAAGGCTGGCGGGACAGCAGCATGGGCACAGTCTCCTAGGGATTTCCCAACTCTCCCACCAGTTGGTTGCATCCGGCCGCCCTGCCTCAGGCCATGGTCTTGACTGGTCAGCAGGTGACCTTTGCCCGGTGCGCTGGTCCTCAGTGGCCGCTGCCCTGGAGACAATATAAAACAGGTCAGAACCCTCCTGCCTGTCCACTCAGTTCATCTCTAGAGGCAGCTGCTCCAGGTAATGCCTTCTGGGGAGGGGGAGGAGGGGAGGAGGATGAAGAGGGGCAAGAGGAGCTCCCAGCCCAGCCAGCCAGCAAGCCTGGAGAAGCGCTTGCTAGAGCCAAGGATGCCTCGGAGCTGGACGGGTGCCCCCACCTCTCACCATAACCTGAAGAAAATGGAGGCCTGGGAGGGTGTCACTTGCCCAAAGCTACGTAGCGGTTGGGGCTAGAACTGGCTCCAAGTGCACGCCCCCCTCATTCTGCAGGCTTAGGGCTGGAGAAAGCCTTAGCCAGCCCAGGCCTACCCCAAACAGGGAAACTGAGACCTGGAGAGGGCCAGAAAGCACCCGAAGTCACACAGCATGTTGGCTGGACTGGACAGAGACCAGTCCGGACTGCAGATGCCTTGATATCCAGGCTGGTGGGTTTTCTGTTCCATGCCACCCACCTCCCTTTGGGCCTCAGTCCCCTGCCCCTCACCAGTCCCTCTTCTGAGAGCCTGTATTAGCAGGGGGCAGGCACCTTCTCCCTCTGCAGACTCAGCTCAGGTTCCACCTTAGGGGCCACGCCACCTCCTCAGGGAGGCATGGGGTTCTGGGGTGCTCCTCACAGGACTCTTCCCTGCAGGAACAGAGGTGCCATGCAGCCCCGGGTACTCCTTGTTGCTGCCTTCCTGGCACTCCTGGCCTCTGCCCGTAAGCAGTTGGTGGGACTGGGCTGGGGGCAGGTGGAGGTGGCTTGGGGATCCTGGTCCCAATGGGTGGTCAAGCAGGACCCCAGGGCTTGACCAGAGGCCCATCCAACCTGCTCAGCCCTGCTCTTTCCTCAGGGGCTTCGGAGGCCGAGGATACCTCCCTTCTCAGCTTCATGCAGGACTACATGCAGCATGCCACCAAGACCGCCAAAGACACACTGACCAAAGTGCAGGAGACCCAGGTGGCCCAGCAGGCCAGGTACAACCGCCAGCCCTCCTTCCCCATCCTCACTGCCAGTTCCCTCCATTCCCACCCGCCCCTGCCCTGGTGAGAGCCAGCAGCGGAACCGTGGTGCTCCCAGCCTCCCGTGGGCCTGTTCCTCTTTGGCCTCCTCTTTTCTCACAGAGCCTTCGTCAGGCTGCTGCAGGAGGGATCACAGAGTCGGGACTGCATTCCTCCCAGTCCCTCTGTGCTCCCCAGTGCAGCCCTAGGGTGGGCC